AATCGTGGAAGCTGTAATCCGTATCTTTACTAGATTAACAGCAGTATTTTTTGTGTTTGTGCCCATACATCACAGCATTTTATATTATATTTGTGTGTTTGTGTATATGTGCTAGTCTGATGATGGTTGTGTCAACTTAGGCACAACATTATGTTCCAAAAAATTCTGTTTCCTTATCTTCTCATTTCAATTTCTTGAAATATTAATGCAAATATTACTGTTCAGGCTGTAAATCGTCATTAATTGCTCTTTTTAATGGCTTTATTATAAAATGCTTTAGATTTGCAAGTGTAAATGCATGTTTCAGTCACTGTTCACTGTAATTTATAGAATAGAAGAAATGGATCACTTGGATAGGTCGATTGTAATAGTGGGGAGAAAAAATTCTTTGTTATCATGAAAGTTAACGGCTTAAAGACAAAGATTGGTTGATTGGAACAAGTATCCGATTTATGCTATTTTATTTTTACTTAAACCTAAAAGCTTAATCAAGTATTTACAAACAAAAAATTGATTTAATGTTGGCAACATGCATATCAAAAAAGATACAACAGTAATGTGTAAAAATTATATCAAGGAATTGATATAATTTTGTTATTTTCATATTTACGCTTATATCATCGTCTTAGTGCCGATTCACTGTTTAACTGTTAGGTAAAATTTATGCGAATATTATCAAGTTTTTTTTCCGTAAGGAGACTTCCAACTTTTCCATGACTTTGAAAACCTACGTCTTTCCTGCATAATTTATATCTGCTGAGAACATATTGTATTCTGAAATACGGAATATTGCAGGAGCTTGGAGGGAAAAGAAATTGTGATATCGAAAATTTGGAGTTTTTGGAAGAAGAACAATTTGAATAAAATTCTTCGGCAACCTTTCAACTGAAATAACAAATTGACTAGAGTGCGAGAGTGAAGAATTTGTCTGTTATTAGTGGTGTATATTAGAGATTTAATTTTAATTTTTGCCGATTTTTGAAAAGCAATCTGGAGTAACTGGCTTAATTTGTCTTCCAACCTTCAGATGTCTTATTTCAGACAGTTTTTACTTTAATTAATTTGATGCTGTTTTAGTGATATTGAGTAACTGAATTAATCCCCCTATACACCTTAAGGGATGATATGGACCATTTGCTATTTTCTGCAATTCCTTCAAATCTGTTGTTTATTTGCTGCTTTTGGTTCTACTCATCCGATGAATGCTTTTTTGCAAACGTTGTTGGTCAATTTTTTCATGGAGTTATTGCGCCTTGGAATTGCACATTAAGTTTTAATCACTGTTTTTAGTATGTCAGATTCGGACTCTGAGTCATTTCACAGCGCGAACGAAATCCTGTCCGACTACGAGCAAGAAGCAACAGTTTTAGCTGCATCTTCACGGGAACCATTTAGTGCAGATGCTGTCGAAAATTGCTCTAAAAAATTTGCAGATGGAGGAGCAGGAGCAGAGAAGACAGTTGTCGTTTCTTCAAAACTGTCTAACGCTTGCACACGAGGAAAAAAAAAGGTTGAAGAAGAAAGCGCTCTGAGCAGGCAGCGGAATAGCACTGCTGGTAATGCGTCAAAAGTGAATGAGGTTTCCCGGTCTTCAGAAAACTTTATTACCAAGGAGGAGGAAAGACAAATTTTTAACGACACGGGAAAACCAATTGGAGCAAAAGCTGAGGAGCATGGTTATGTGGGAAGTCATGTTGTTTTAAATTGCCGTAATGAATCTTTTGGGAAGCTGAACAAAACCCGGAAACAGAAAAGTGATTTTAATACAACCAAAGCAAACTCTGGTGATGATCAGCGTGAACAGAAGGACTCACGGTTACACGGATTAGAACAGTTACGTAATGAGCACGGAGAAACTGACGGATGGGAGGACTGGGGTAATGAAGATTTTTTTGCCGAAGATGATAATCCTTCAGGAGTCACAGAATCTCAGGCTCTAACGGTCACAGAAGAGGTCTTTTATCTTACAATATTTCAAGAGAAAAGGATTTATATCTTACACAATAGACTTTTGTATTGATTCTATACATTTGATTTACAGGGTCCCGATGGTAGGGTCTTTATTAAGGGTTCCGGAAAAAAGTCGTTTTGGGGCTGGGGTGATATCTCCGGTGTGATTTCTGCGGTTGGTAAGTTGCATTTTGCTTAAAATGATATTGTAAACTTAAGCAGTGTAGCCTTCCTTATTCACTATGAACGCTTAAGTGCGTACAATGCGCTGTACGTTTACACTTAGATATTCCTGCAGGCGAATGATTTTTTCTGTTCATTGTACAGTGCGACCCATCTCAAGTCGGAGTTGATGACAATGTTTTTAAAAATCAATTTTGAAATTCATGGGCACAATTATTTGTTACTAAATTTCTTCGCATTTTACACCTACTGGTACTTCTTTATTATCATAAAGCACTCATTTTAAGAGCTTTTTTTACAAATTGGAGTAGTTTATTTATGGATTTAGGTGGAGGTCTCTCAACTGCAGTGGAAGCTAGTTTGGGTTTACCCTCTCCAGAAGAATTAGCTGGTCATGGACGTTCTGAACCGCAGGATAATGACAGTTTGTCAAGATCCAAAAATGTGTTATTTTTTGAGACGTTTATTAAATGCTGAATACTTTTTTAAGGCAGTTCATCTGTTTTGGAAAATTCTTTGTATTTTCTAATTCAGAATGAGAGTATCAATGCTGAAATTAATGCGCTGGGTGGATTCCTTTCTAGTATTGGGTCTACTGTTGTCACTAGTTCGCTTGACGTCCTTGAAACGCTTGGAAAGGCTACTTATGAGAAGCTGACTGTACCTAAGGAGGCATGTTTTGATGTTCACTGGTTTATCATCTATCGGAACTGTTTTTACTAACAATAGCAGGGGTGAATAACTTGTTATGCAGCATGTCGAAGTGGCCAACCTTTTTCTCAATTAGGGTTGAGTAGACGAACATTGTTTTGATATGATCTGGTTTTGGGTATTTTTAATGCAAATTGATCTGCTCGAATCTTCAAGATATTGATTTTCGCTGCTGTTGTGGCTTAATTTTATTGTTGTGTGCAGAATTGTTTTTTTCTTGAACATTTTGTGGAGTAGATCTATAATTTCTGTTCAAGAAATTGGGAATGATTCGAAAGATAATTTTTTTTACTGCTTTCACTCCTGTTAAAGTTTTTATCGGAAGAGTTTAATCAAATTTCAGTTATCTTGCCTCGTTATTGTTTTTATATTTTGGTGCTTTCAAATAACTTCTCTTCTTTGGGGTTTTAGCATATCACTACTCCAATTTGCTCATATTTAAAAAGAGCGAATTTTTCAAGGGTTTTCTAAATAGCTGTAGTTGTAGGGTCTCTTCCGAACATTTTTTTATAGAATGCCTATAACAACAATATTATTTTTGAAGCTGACGGAAGTACTTTGTCTGATTTGCTTGGTCACTCGTTCCGTGAAAACAGTCGCAATTTTCTGTTCGTACAAGTACTGTTTTGACATTTGAAATTTTTAGGACGGTAAAAGAAGACGTTTAATATTTGAAGCGCAAGAGAATATCAATTTGTCTGATTTCCTTAAAGAGTTGCGGGAGAAGCAGCGGTCTGCTGGAGATGATGAGACAGCGTCTTCGAAAAAAGTTCGCGCTGATGTCACCTTTATTGACTTGTTTGAGTCTTATGGCGGCTTTGTACATTTAGAGGGCCTGGAGATGCTTTCAGCGGGTTCTTCTTTAGAGAAAAATGATTGTCATTATTTTAATATGTTAGTTTAAATCAGTTCTGGCTAATATTTTTGATTTGGTTAGTTCACATTGGTATACTTCATCTTGACGTTAATTTGCAACGAAATTTTTTATTCAAACGTTCATGACAGGTACTTGTATTCATTCCTCCTTTATTCCTCCTTGCAAGTTTTTGCAGGATAATTAAGTAACTTTTTGAAATTTATGAACCAAAATATCTAACTAACTGGCACAGTTCAAATAGCTTTTAGTTTGGTCGACAAGGTCGTAGAGAAACACGCGGCGGAAAGTTCAGAAAAACGTCTCGGTCAAGAAGACTTTTCCTCCACTTTGAAGTCGCTTTTGACGAAGATTGGCCTACCATATGACGTACCTTTCTTGTTCTTATATTTTGATTTTCTAGAATTTGTGTTTTTTTGTTTGTAACATTCTTTGTTTTAGGGTTCGCATTTGCTAGAATGTGAAAGGCATTGTTCCCAGAGGTGCTTACAGTCTTCTGACACTGCTAATGAGACTTTTATCATATCCCTCGGTAAGTTTACTGAATGCTTTTTTACTCTTCCTTTGCTTTTCTAATCAAGAAATTTTAAAGTTTATTTTATTGCTTTTTTTGCTGTCTGGTTGCTTGTTAATCTCTTACACTGCTCATATTTGTATTTTAGAAGTCATTGCTGAATTTACTGCCCATAGTGTTCAAACGTTGCACAAACTTGGCCAGCTGACGCTGATTGCTGCGTCAGATGTTGATGAAGTCTATTTTTTGCGTTTTCTAGAAGTAGTAGGAGACCGTATTAATTTCTTTGCAAATGTTTTTGTTCAAAAGATTAACAATTTTCCTGAGGAAGGAGACAAGGTAATTTTCTCATTTTTAAGTATTATATATTCTTTCCTTGACATTTCGTCACTAGTCGCACGAAAAGTTTTTTTACGTGAAGATATGTTTTTTAAGGTTGAAGACATGATAACCGGAGTTTTCTTAGCGTCTGAAGATGGTTTTACTTATGTACAGCAGTCTGTTCGTTTACTAGGACCACTCATTGCGCAAAGTACTACTCGTGAATAATATGCTTGTCATGAGTAGTTGTTATTAGTTTTTGTAAATACGTTTGACAGTTTTTATTCGTTTTTGTCTGTTTTTTATTGTCAGATGAAGTAATAGTCAGAGGACTTTCAGTTAGACTATGAAGTAAAGAACTGTGATTTTTTTTTCAGTTTAATGAGTTTTATTTTGTAAGATGGAAAATGTTATGTTTGAATGAATCTGTTTGTATTTTTGATCAACTGGTTTTCTTGTTTTTAATTGTCGTTATCTTTCTTTTCCGAATTTTCTTCTTTGGTGTTTTTGTTCCTTTGATAAGAAACGAGCTGATGTACTGTTTTTGCTTGCACAGTCATGCTCTCTATAATTAAATGCTAAATAGCTATTTGATCTGCTACCAGTATTTGGGATTTTAGGGGTAAATTTTTTTGGACCTTTTGAGTTCATTAATAAAGTTGTCTAGATGTACTGGTTTTGCATTCTGACTTTTTAATATTAAATTTATTTCGTTATGGGTCAGCTCTAGCCTGCTGAAGGAAGTTCTTTTTCACGGTAACTGAGAAACACTGAAGTTAGTTTTTTGGTTGCTTCTGAGTCATGTTCTTCAGGTTTTTTGCGGCAGTGGGTTTCTTATTGGAAGCAACTCTCTGCTGAAGTGGTATGAGCTTTGGAAGTTTCTTAAAGGGTATCGCAAGTCAGGCTACGCAGGGGAACTATCAAAATGTTCTGGAAGCTTGTGGTAGGAAGCTCTCTGAAGTTGCCTCGACATTTTCCAGCACAAAGAAGGTGCAGGATTTGTCAATATTGCAGAATATTTTTATTTGCTCTTTGGATGTATTTGAAAAGTTTGCCAAATGCTTTGGATGGTGGATTGTTTCAAAAATTTCTACTTCTCCAACGAAAACACTTATTGCTGTAAGTAGTGACTTTTTCAGGTGGAGATTCTTAGTGCCTCTAAAATGAAATCTCTCCAAAAATGTGACGGCTCCATGAATTTTTCCGTTTATATGGAAAAGAGTGGCGATAGCTTGTTTCTTGTAGTCTATGTTCCAAGGTTTCTGGTCGTTTTTCGTGGTAAAGATGGAAGTGAAGCAAAAAATGTTTGCACAAATTTCAATTGTGTAATAGAACTTGTTAAAGCACTTGGTAAGTGATCTACCCCGAAAATTTCACTGTTGCTAGTTGAGATCATGCTAAAAGGAAGAAGAGATTGGATCTTAAAAAGTGAGGTAAAGTCAATTTTTAGAGATCATTTTTTTTGTCTTTTTAAGTGTTTTTGGCAGCTTTGATAGTAATGGATTAATATAAAGTTTGACTAACTCTAGAGACCGCTCCAGCTAGCGATTCACTCTTCATTACCTCGTTGGAGAAATTACAGCCTTCAGTACTGAATAACCCTGGATATCGAAGTATTCATCATGCGAGCGCTTGCGGTTTTGCCCAAGCTATTTTCGTTATGTGTTCCAGTATAAAAGCAGATTTGTCAGTTTTACCTCTTACTGTTAGTGAACGTTTATTACTCAATGGGATTTTGACCTCTTCTTATGGCGTACAGTTTTATACATTATTAAATAGTTTGGCAGTTGTAGGCTGGTAAATGAAGCTTCTGAAGATGGTCGTTTCCCACTTCAAATTGCTGCTGAGAGCAACGAAAAAGATACACTGTTGGTACTGTTAAATTTTGGTGCTGATATTGCCAAACAAGACAGCCATGGACGTAACGTTTTGCATTATGCTGCTCAAAAAAACTGCGACCTCCTGCGGGTAGATTTGTTTCTAACTTCTTTATCGTAGTATGATGCTGTCATACATATTATTTGACGACCTTTAAAAAACTAAAAGTAAAAGTTAATTGGTTCTGTTATGCGAGGTCAATGTATTGTTTGGTTTTTACTTCTTTTCCAAATTTCAGATCCTTGCCAAATACTCCTCTTTTGAACGCGGTTTGAATGCAGTGGATGAAAATGGAAAATCTCCTCTTTGTTATTCTGTTCTCGATGCTCGGGCACAAAATGTTAAGCTCCTCTTGGAAGCTGGTTGTTCCACAGGTCCATACCGATTTGGCCCATTGGTAGCACTGGTTCCTTTTTGCAAAGTGTCACTTGATTTGCTTAAGTAATCTTTTCTCAGAATTAGTTGAAATAACACAATTTATTCAAATTCAGAGATTACTGTGGGGACGGATAAATTTTTGAAATCACCGTTTGGTTGTATTATTTTGTTTCAGGACCATTGATATTATCTTACGTCATGATCCATCTTTTCTGGACGGAAAAATAGATAACTCATCTACAATTCTTCATCGAGAGCTGGATCCTTTGGTATTGAAAATTTGTAAATTTAGCAGGATTCAAATTTTTTTGTGCAAAGTTTTCTGACAAATTCTTTCGCTCCTTTTGTAATTGCTCTTCTGAAGGTGAAATTATTTCAGATTTTAAACCACTTACTAGAAAAGCCGGAGGCTCATCACTTATTCAAAATGCGAGATAATAATGGGCGAACTCCTTTACATAACAGCGTCCTCAAAGGAAATCTCTCGCAGACTCTCCGTCTATTAGCTTATAACTCAAAGGTGGATGCTGTGGATCAGAATGGCGATACCGCACTTCATTTAGCTATAAAAGTAACAATGATTTTTGGCGTTGGAAATGGTTCCCCACTTTTGTTAAACAAACTCATCTGTTTATTGGGGGGTTAAACATAGGATCAGCTGCTGATATTTTTTAGTTTGGCGCTTTAATCACGGGACATATTTTTTAGCCATTGTGTGTTTCTTCATAAATTTTTGCTTTCAGCATGGTTTTGAAAATTTGGTGAAGTTACTGCTGGTTTTTAATGCTAATATGTCTCTTAGAAACAAAGAAGGGTTTGATTCGATGGATTTGGCTTGTTTTTCTCATGCGTGAGTAATATACTTGAAAAAATTACCACAGTGCTTATTGGTAGCGCTGTGATTTTTATATATCTTTTTTCAGAGAAGGAATAAAAAACTGTATTAGTTTGTTTGCCAGTCCGTTCGCTCCAGATGGTTCTGGCAAAGACGGTATGTATCTTAGTTGTATGTCGACTTTTACACAGATTTTTTTTTTTTGCATAAATTTGGGTCGTTGTGTTTAATATTTTTTTTATGTTTCCAACTTTAAGCGTGAAATTTTTGAAAATAGTTGGAGTGAAACATCCTTATTTATGCTTTTTTCTCTTCATTGGGTGGAATAGAACTTATATATTGCATTTCTCTGGGGAATACTTTTTGGCCACCGAAAAAAGCTGTTACATACAAAAGAGAACTACAAAATATTCTTCGTTTATCATATTTTGCAAATTTTTGCTTACTGCAGTGAGTTTTCTCGTTACTTTTTCATTCCGCTACTCTCGGTCATGTGATCCTAAAATTATTTCTTAATTTAACACAGCATATAAAATACCGTAATTTACTTTAAATTTAATCTTGCGGCGTAAGCACTGATGTTCATTTGGCATTCTTAACTTTATTTAATAGCACTTATCCTGGAGTTAGGTTCCTTTAACTTCTTTTTTTAAAACAGTAAGGATCTGATGTACAAGGTTGCATTTGAAAGGTGATAGTTCGAGAGGAGTATAATCTAAACTTTCAAGTTCAATCTTTATAACCCCGTATATTCGGTAAAGCAGCGGGATTCATCGTTTTTAGGTAACTATGATGATTTTGAAAAAAATTTAACGATTTATAGGGATTTTATAGATGCACAGGCCCAAAGTAGCTTTTTCGTAACGTTTCAGCTTCTAGTCCCTTGATGTATTCTTTTTGGCTTTTCTAGTATAGATAGTTTCCATATAGTGGCAGACTTGTGTGAAAATTACTTACTGAACAACTGATAAAATCAAAGTCTATGAACTTTTGAGTGCCATATAAAGCCTTGGGAAGCGGCAACTTTTGGGGGACCATTGTGTGTGTTCATTAAGAGAAGTTACGGATCTTACACGTCTGTCACTATCTGACAAATATTACTGTGGTTCTGTAAATACTCTGAAATTGGAGTATGCGAAAGTTACAGAGAAGAAAGTACAAGAAAGTTTGGATAATTTGCTGTGTAATGAAAGCCAGCTAAAACTTTTTAAGCTAGAATTCTCCTTAAAGGATTTCTTTCAGAATTCATCATGCATTTAATAGCGCAAAGGCATCTGCTGTTTTTCAGTTTTAATCAATTTCCTGCAAGGCGAAGCAATTAAGAGTGTTCAGCGGTTGTCATCTACTAAAAAACTGTTACTGGTTAATGGTTTATCGCTTGATGGAGGTGGAATCAGGGGACTGATAAGCATCCAAGTCAAATATTGTTTTTAATTTTTTATTTTTTAATTCTTAGGAATTTGGGAATTGTTAGTCTTTTCCAATCCTTCTCGCTGACTTTAACACTTTTAGATTCTTTTACACATCCAGAACAGACTGAAAATGCCACTTATAAACCACTTTTCCTGGGTCGCTGGCACAAGTACGGGAGCAATCTTAGGGTTGTCCTTAGCAAAAGGTAAGTTATTGCGCATCTCCTGGTTGCTGTCATAGAAAACACGGCTTTCAGGTGACACGTTGAGAAATTGCCGCAGTCTTTACTTGAAAATGAAAGACAGGGTATTTTCTGGCACAAAGCCTTACTCAGAAGTCGCAATTGAACATTTCCTGCAGCAGCATTTTGGGCAAGAATCGACAATGTTTCAGCTTGCACCAAAAAAGTATAACTGCTTCTTCATTAGAGTAATGATAAATTACATTCAGTCACTAAAACTGATTTCTTGCCGTCGTTTTTCTATTCATTTAGGCGATTGAGAAAGCACTTCAAAAATTGCAGAGATTAATATGAATGATAGTCATTTCGAAAAAGCGCTTAAAAAGTTGAATGAGGAGTTGTTTGATCTGTTGTCTTAGCTACTCACTAACAAGTATTCATTTATGTAGTAAAACTGAAATCAGCCGCAAACTGCTTAATTATAGCGAGGGTCCTTTCTGCAACTTCAACAAATTTTGCCATTATTTAAGACGAACAAAATAATAAGTGCACTGATGTTGATTAGTTTGAAAGTAGGTTAAAATTGTCCCAGCCACTACAAACTTTAAATTTGGGACTTTATTTGAGTCGTTGTCATTAATTATACTTTTTTATGCTGAGAAAAAATCCCCAAGATTTTACGATACCTTACTATACGTTTGGTGTAAAAACTGCAATATTTAGAGTATTAGTGACTGCTACGTCAGTGAAAACAAATCCGCCAAATCTGAAAATATTTCGCAGTTATCGCCTCCCCCTTTCTGATAAAGAGAATGAGCTCTTAGGGTTTGATGACCCTAAAAAATCTATCATCTGGAAATGTGCGAGATATTCGAGGTCTGGAGTAGCTTCAAAATTTTCATTTTTTCTGACTCGCATTTTGATCATTTGTCGTATTACTTGACGTCTTTGTTTCCTCTTCTTTTTGTTAACACTTGCTTTACCACTGAGGCTGCCTTTTACTTTAATGTAGTATTTTTAGTGCTGCACCAACATTTTTCCCCTCTAAAGATGGTTTAGCAGACGGTGGTTTAACAGCAAACAATCCGACAATTGATCTTTTAAGCGACATTCATGATTACAATGCTGCATTGAATAAATCAGTTAGTTATTTTTCAAAACTATCATATACCTTTAAGAGTTGCTGATTTTAAAACTAATGAGTGATTCGTCACGTATTGTAAATTCTAAAATTCAGGTATTCTGCAGGATATGAAGAAATGGTCGTTTTTAAAATCAATTTTGCGTTTCTGTCTGTTATACAGTTCATCGGCTTATTTCTTTTTGCCAACGAAAAAATTTAGAATCCCAAATTATTCTGAATCAGGGACCAATTTTTTTAATTTTTTGATTATACAATAGGAATTGTTTAAGGGAAAGGAGGGATGTCAAGTAGGCTGTATACTCTCAGTCGGCACAGGTTCTGGACCTGTGGAAATCATTGAAGATGCCAGATTTGATTTTCACAAGACGCTTAATCCACGTGAGGGCTACAAGATGCTCCTTGATGCATGGAATCTCAAGAACATCTTAGTGGAACAGGTTATCATAATTTAAATTACCACTGTATAACACTGAATGTTACCATTAACTATACTGAAACGTTTTCAAATCAATTTACATATCAAATGACTGCATCTTTTAAATTCTCGTTTCGGATCTCTATATATGATCCCAGGCTAGCGAACTCAAAAGATCTTTCGCAACTACAATTAGCGACCTTCCCAAGTGCAAAGATTTAGCAAAATTTTCACCAAGCCTGACTAATTTCCAGACCATGTAGATTCCTTCATCCTTTATTAAAACAAATACTTTTTGGAGTCATTTCTAAAGTATTTTTCTCACTTTTCAAGCTTTGTAGACCGTCAGTATTTCTTATTGATTTAAAAAAGCAACAGGAGGTCCAGCCTCCATTGCAAAACTTTAGAAGTATCAGGCTTCAGATTTTTCCAGCACCCTGCTAGCGTATAATTTTCTTCTCTGGAAAAATTCAGTGAATTTCATGCTGGGCTAAAGATGGGCTGGTGGAACTCATGGAGAAAACTGAGAGTAAGTTGCAGAATTTCCAGTGACATACCACAACCAGTCAACCCCTGACAAGGGTTTACAGCTCAACACCGTAAACAGCTTCAAAATCGACTCCATTAAATCACATTCTTTGGAGTAGAGATTCACTTTTTTTAGTGTCAAGAAAGCAGATCCCGTTTTTCAGTGCAGCTTTCCCAACTTCGTCTCAGCATTTCTCCCCAAGACCTACCTGACTATGTGTTCTTCAATTTTAAACGTACTCGATTTCACAACAAAAAAATTTTTTAAACAAATCTACTTGGAAAGAACTGAAAATTTAATCTTACTTTACGAATTTCCCTCTGTTTGTAGTTCGTAGATAAATAACCTTAGTGAAGTCTTAAAGAGCAGACAAAATGCTCAAAGAAGGTTTGAAAAATATTCAAATTCACGTAGGACAGAGTGACGTGCAACCTTCCAAAATAGAGTATCCGGCTACAACTTTTTAATTCTATTTATGGAGTCACTAAAAGGGACCGGTGGCATAGATCCCTGCTTTCCAAATCTGAAGTCAGGAATCACCATTCATCAAGTTTTGCTGGGGGAACTAAGGCGTAAACTTTCCTTCATTTTCCGCAATTAAAACTAAATTTACAAGTGAAAAAAAGTGGGACCCGCAGAAGATACTTTCTTAACTTCTTTTGCATTAGCGTCCCTTCTCTACAACAGACTCCTATCATAGCGAGTCTTCTGCAGGAGAAATCACTTTTGCCCAATTCAGCTACTGACTGAAGAAAATAATTTCGGACGTGGAGCAGTATTATTGTGCTTTTGCTTCATTATCTTCTTAAAATCGATGTGATCTCTTACCGGAATTGTTCTGTTTTTTCTTTTTAAAGCAAATGTATTCTTACACACTGTTATTTTTAAGATAACATCCTCTGATAAGGACTGTGTTAGACGAGCTCGTGCTTTTGCTCATAGCAAAGGAATACCATTTTTCCGTTTCTCTCCTCAATTATCTATCCCCGTTCCACTTGACGAGAAGAGCGACGAAGTTATATCTCAAGCTCTTTGGGATACAGAAGTTCTAATTCTTTCCTTTCCT